TCCGGGTTTATGTATTTTTATATTTCCGTATAGGTATACAGGTTGATAGTCTCCGAGGATTTTGTGAATTTTCATGGATCCTATTTCAGCATTACTTGATGTAATAATCTTATTGCCTAATATTTTAGTTCCTCGATGATGTTTTTATTTAATTTTATAAATGTGTATATGCTCAAATGTATGCATTATGGAGACCTATATATTAAAGACTTACATATGAATTTTTAATAACAGTAAGGTCACATATTTTCACAAGAGTCTCCATCTTTGAGTACTCAGACTGTTATAGGGAAATCGATCACCAAAATGATGTTATTGCTTGTCTTCCTATCCACAACCTTGTCGTCATAAAACCATTCAATTTCTTCATTTGAACTTTTAAAACCTAGTCTGCTTACAGGATATATCTTTAGCCCAATCCAATTACACACTAAGTTAATCTACCTAATGTACTATCAAGACTTACTACCTTATCCTCAATATTATTATTAACTAAGAGTCCTACACTACTAAGCTTGTTATTTACCTTTTCTCTTTAACAGTGTTCTATTCAGATTTTCCTACGAGACTTGTTAATGCCTACCATGCGTTAGATGATGTTTAGTTCTATCATTAGCTGATCCAGACTGTGGTCTTCAGTTGTTCTTATACTATTGTTCTCCTAACAGCTAAGGGCCCCTCAAGGTAGAGTCTTACTAAATTAAGTGGTTAAGGAAGTGTAAGAAGAGGAGTTTTTTTTTAATTATTCGGTTGAGCTAGCTCGGACATTCATGAGTCTATTACACCAATCGTCACGATCCTGCATCAAGGCCGGAAGGTCATTAGGGTGGTATTCTGTGTCATAACATAGTTGGTCAATGAAAGTCATTGTTGTACGACCAACCCGTCTTGCGCCATTGCTGGATGTCCAGAGCAGTACATCACTCCCAAGTTATCGTTTTGCTCGCCAGCAGTGTCCTGCAAAGCGTATTGTACGTTCACGTAAGATTTTAGAAGTATCAGGGATGGGTCCATAAAGCTGTGATGTAGTTAAATCTTGTGTCAAAGAGATGTTAAGTATAGCTCTCAGCATCCGAGTGTAGGTTCCATCAAGCTTAGACTCTAGGGTTTTAGTTAATGTCCAAGCAGTGGCACTATACATTAACACCGCCTCTACAGTGGCTGGAAAGAAGCTCTGTTTGGGATTGTCAGGTAAATCTGATTTCCAGAAGACATCCATTTTATTCAAGGCGGTTCAAGCTTTAGCTATTTGAATTTTCACATCCTTTTCGATAGAAATTATTTCGCTTCTTAGGTATGTAAAAGACCCGACAGAATTTATTGATTCACCTGAGACTATTGAAGCTTATGAATTCCGTTTTAGAGGCATTGACATAGAGTCCAACATCGTTTTTTCTAGGGGATGTAGAAGAACTATGGCATTGGTAATGGTGTCTGCAGACATTTTCTTCTGTTACTTTGTAGAAGAGACTCCCCAAAAGTGCACCCCCGACTACTGCAATTTTTACCTCTTCGAGTTAAATATTAACTGTTATCTATCCTACATATCCTCATAATATGCACTTTTACCGCCTCTTCTGTTGTCTTTGCAGAAGAGGCGGGAAGAAGTTCATATTATAAGGATATGAAGAATATATAACGGTTAACTTTTAAGATGTTAAGACTGTAATGATCGTGGGAGCATCCTTTCAGGAATCTGTTCCACAAAGTAACTTTTTTGGAGAAGATGCGGAGTGAAACTTCTTTCCGTGCCAGTAGAATATGAAGAAAGTGAGAATCAGTCCATCCTGCGTACGTAGTATGGCGGTTTACTTGCAGTAAAGGTCTGAACTGGGTGTTTCATTTTTTTTTATCAGATCTGAGTCTTGTAAATATGAAGCGTGGCAGAGGAAGTCAGTACCTTTCTAGGATGGCACAAAAAGCCGACTATCTTTAGCACTGGACCGTATATACGAGTTCCTCTTGAGGTCTGGATTGAGCTTGAGTCACGGTAGTAGTTTAAGCCAAGGATCTTTATTGAGAGTAAAAGCGTTCATCAGAACTGGAAAAATCTCAGAGTTTATTCCGTAATGATGGACATTGTTTTAGATCTTGTATGCGTATTTTGTTTATTTTGTTTATGCAAATCATTTTTTTCATTTTGTTTAGTATCTACTCGCTATTGATGGCACACTGTTTACAAGTGCATGAGGCAATGCGTTAGACGATGATATAATAGATATTTAATTTTTAACTCGTCTAGGTTGTGGAGAGATAGTATCTAATTGAGTTCATCTATTACCACTAATTACTAATTATAATCAGTGACACCACAGGGATCCAATGTCCCTCAGCATCCATAGTATTCTATCTCAATGAGTTGAGTCATGGGTGTGCATCAAATCTAGCAGGAGGTTTGTGTCTGCTATCTCAAAGAAATAATGTAACCGCGACTTTGCAAGTTCAAGCAGTATCACTGCGGTCATTGTCGTTAGTTGAGACCATTAAGATGTTTTGAGGC